TAATTTATTTATTTATATGTCTTTATGTTCAGAAAATTGAGAAAGATCTTCTGAAAATAAAATAGAAATTGATCTTATGGGGATTTTTTATTTTTTTATTTAAGCAAATCTTATAAAAAGATGATGCACCAATGATAAAATACTAATAGATGATAATAGATGCATCTTTCTGTGGCAATTATGAAATCTATTTAGTGAATCAAGGATGTAAAGTTTAGTAAATATACTGACATTTAAAAAGATAAATAAATTATTTTCTCTGTTATAAACTAAAAGACTCAGTTTTAAGGGTAAAAAAAGTATCTGCATATTATAAATATAAGATAGACTCTTTGGAATTTGGGCACTAAGACCTATAAAGGACATGTAAGGAGGTAAAGGAGCTTTGATAAAGCATTGATGGTTTGCTAATGTCTGGCTCTCCCTCTCTAGGTGATCCTGTCGGATCCCAGTCCCTCAGGGGAGACGCCCTTTTTTGAAACATGGCTGCAGACGTGCATGCCGGAGGAAGGGAAGACTCTGAATCCGGACCACCCCTGCTTCAGACCGGAGCCGGGGAAAGTGGAGAGCCTGGTGACTCTGCTGAACAGCTCTGCAGAAATGAGACTGGTGTAAATGCATATTTTTACTAAGCATCTCTTCACATCTGGTAAAAATTTATCTCTCACATTCTGTATACGCTGTATCAGTCAGATGAAGTGGCACGAAATCTGCCTCAACACTCCGGCAGCCATTTTGGAAGTCCTTAACGCGTGGGAGAACGGCGTGCTGTCTGTGGACGTGGTACAGGTCAGTCCTCGCTGCGTCTTTTTAAAAATATTTTTGTTATTGTTCCTGAAACCGATTATTGCGGTAAATCAGCTCATCAGCTTCCAAAACAAACACCACTGCTTCTGTTTGACTCATCCCACCGTTCTGTGTGAAACCATCATTACAAACGTGTCACAGCAAACTTGCAAAGAGATGTAAAAGCACAGCACAACCAATGGATTTATTATAAGTGATGCAATAAACTAACACCCTGATACTATCGCTGAATATTAAGTTGCCCCACTCTTGCCGTCACTCTTCTAACCCACTTCTCCTTCCTTTGAGGGTTTCACTCATTGTTGGCGGTTTTTGTTTTAGTCAGATTCTTTCTGCAAACTAAAAAGTCGATTTTGTTTTCCTCTCCTTTCTTTTCTATTGAGTGCAGAGGATTACAGACAACATCAAGGGGAAGGTATGCAGCATGGCTATTTGTGCCGTGGCCTGGCTGGTGGCGCACGTCAGGATGCTTGGACGGGATGAGAGGGAGAAGCCGCAGACTATGATCCGACAGCTAGTTACTCCCCTATATGCGGAAAACACTCTACAGTTTTATAACGAACGGTAAAAAAACACAACAAAGTGTCTGGATTCTGCCTAAATCTGCTGAGGGTAAACAGGTGAAATCATCTTCCTCTTCTTTCAAACCCCCCTTTCAGCGTGGTCATAATGAGCTCCATCATGGAGCAGATGTGTGCGGACGTCTTCCAGCAAACGGGCGCCTTGTTGCGTTCCCCCCTAGAAGGCCAGGAGCCCATCCCGTACCGCAACCTGCTGCCTCCCAAAGAACCCATTCACCGCTCCCTCAGCCAGCAGTTCCAGGCTGTGCTGCGCAAAGGCTGGGTGGACAGTCGAGCTCTGCACCTGTTCGAGGGTCTGCTCAACATGGGGGGGGTCTTCTGGTTTACTAACAACCTGATCAAGGTAACTGGACTGAATGACATTTCCTCACATCTCGTCATGTTCAATAAACTTTTATGCTGAATATCTCGGACGAAACGCAGGAGAAAAAATGTCGACTGAAAGGTATCAAAGATTCTTTTAAACAAACAAAAACTGCAGTAAAGGCAAGTTCATTTAAAACAGTTCAGTACGAATAATACAATAGGTTTTACATGAAATAAACAGTAAATAAAAGCAAGTAAAGTTGCAAACAGTTGGACCACAAACTTGATTTAATGATACTTCAATTAACAGTTTAATGGTGATTTCACACCGAATGCAGTGAAAGCCATGCGTTTTGCATTCTGTCTCTATGGAAACCGTGTGGGAAAGTGCGGTAAGCAGCCAGCTGTGAGCGGTCACCGCTTCGCGCTCTCTGTGCTGCTTAGGGATTTTCATGCAGAGAGGTGAAAAAGATCTAAACTTTCCTGTGAAATGGCATCGCAGCAGCCAGTCAGGCTGGTTGTGACGTAGGTTAAAGAATTGCAGTCGAGGCAAAGCTTTTTTTTTAGTTAAAATGGAAAATAGAGAAAATAAGAGACCAAATATGAAATAAAGAACGCTCTGAAGAGGTTTTAGATGGCTTTTTAAAAAAGCTGTTTGAGTTTAGCCTTAAAGGACCGCTTGTCATCCTCCCTTACCTCCAGCTCAGACCTCGGCCCCTCCTGCTGCTCTCTGCTCGGCCAGATAGAAGCGCGTACTGCCGTCCAGACGCAGTTCTGGATGAACCAAAGTGATCTACTTTTTTTTTTTACTTGATGGCCTCTCCAAGCTGATTCAAAGGTTCTGCATAGAGATATATCTAGCAGCGGTCTGTAATGGTTTGTTTCACCTTTT